ATAGTAATAAGTATCGTTTTCGAGGTAAATGTTATTCTTGCCGAAAACCTCTCAGGTGCAAAACTATTGCCATGGAACATTTAATCACACGTATACGATTTAAAAATGCAAATATTTCTATGTGTTACAGCCTGGGACGTATTAATATGTATGGAAAAGGTAAAGGATCTTATCCCTTTGGCCCTTCGGGCAATATAGAACGAAAGTTATTGATATCTTTAATAAATAAAAAAAATATCTAGTATGGTATCTATACTCTGAGTAATAAACTTCTAAACTCTTTGAGAAACAACGAGAAACCAAGCTTCTTCTGCGCCATAAAAAAAGGTATTGAGCGAAAACGATAATGAATTAGTGTAAGTTCAGCGATAACAGTGTAATATTAACTACTATTAACTATTAAAATGGAAGGATATTTTACAATGGGGCAGGTAAATCATTTATTAGGTAAATTGTTATTTAAACAGTCATGGTAAAGTATGAAGTCAAATTGTATATCTACTGTTAGTGCCGAAGGTCATATGTAAAAATTTATATTTCTTCACAGAAGAGCGTGAAAACCTATTATTTATTAGTATAATTTTATATTTTATTTCCCTATTTTAGCAGGCGACTTATAGCAGTCACAGACTACAAAATGACACCTTTAGGGCAAAGAAAATAAACATGTGAAATTGTTATATTCGCACTAATAGTAGCGATATGTTGAATAGACTATCTTGTTGATATTATATTGCATATACGAATAAGCATGATCCCAAGGACGGCCTTAGACGCTTAGGAAATGACATCATCCCCCCAACTTTAATTTAATAATTAATTAATTAATATTAAATTTATTTCTTAAGCTGTTATATTTTATGATGTAACGTTTAGATTTAATTTCATTGAACATTTCTCTAATACAGTTTAGAGTTAGGATTTGTTAATGTTAGGATAAAATTAATTATTATAATTCTTTTGGTATTTAGTTTGAATATTTATAAAGTAGCTAGGTCTCTCGACGGGTGGTTTGATTGTTGTGTTTGTGATGTCGGTTAAACGTCGAATGCAATTGGGAGAAGGATTGCTATTGAACGGGGTATACTCGTCTTGTTACATTTAGGTAATTCTCGAGAAAAAAATTGTCTGCTGTTGCAACATGCGATTTCAAATGCAAATTTATAGCATTAAAATTAATAAACATACTTCATTGTAAAAAACATTAGTGTTTTATATGTCCGAATTGTAAGAAAGTAATGCTCAGATATGAGAAAACGATTCTATATTTCTGACAGTCGATACAATCACAAGCCATTTTCAAATCGATGTTAAGGTACCAGGGGTGCTCAGAATAGGGTTTCGTAGCTCAAGTTGCGCCATCAAAATATTTGAGGGAACATATTTTGATGAATTTTTTAATTTTTGAGGGAGGAGGGGGCACATTTTGATAGGATTACGAATTTCGAAATGAAAAGTTTTATACTAAGAGAAAAGGAGAAAACATGGAACAGGCCGCATAAATATGAAACATGTAACCTGGGTGTGATCTACGATTTTTCTAATTCAACCTTAGCTTGCTCTGTTTTTAAGAAAATAAGAGCTATAAACATCTTGGGAGTGGAAAGAGAGGGTAGAGGTAGGTTCTTGCGCCATCGACCTTGCGGGAGGGGAGTGGATGGTCACCCCTGCAAGGAGTGACCCTTTGCTATCTAATTTCTCTGATATGATGGAGGACTATGAATAATAATATATCGCCATGTTTATTAAAATATCAACTTTATGCCCAACGGCTGAGTTAAGCTTTCCTCGATGGGCATTATGGTGAGGAATGCATAAGCTGCAATATTATATGAGGTCCTTTATTGCTGTCGTAATATCGTGAAAGGAGCTATCTTAAAACTTAATTAAATTTTTTATCACCTTGTAAAACTATAACTGCAAATATCGCCCTTAGTTTATGGGACATCTATATATATATATATATATATATATATATATATATATATATATATATATATATATATATATATATATATACTATATATTGGATAATGTTATTTTTCTATCAGTACAGTTTCCAAACCTTATTTCAAAGAGTACCATTTCTACTTTTCAGATAAATGGGCTCATCACCACAACCTCATCTTATGATATTAATATTAAATGTTCTTAATAAGGAAAAATACAAACTACGATTCAGAAATAAATCAATTTTTTTTCTGTTGGCATGACAGACCTATCTACATAAGATCTACATATTTTGCCGCCTTAACAAGTCTGCTCCATCTCTGCCTGTCTTGGGGTATTTATTTCCATTTATTTGTAACCAGTTCTATTGTATCTTTGTTGATTCTATCTATCCATCTGCTTTTGGCCTTCCTCATAGTCTTTTGCCTTCTATTGAGGCATTCCTTGTTATGTAGCGGCTTCCAGATTGATTGCTGCGAGCTACGTGCCCCGCCCAAACGCACATACTAGAGTGCATGCGCTCCGTTTTGGAGTTGTTTGTGAAAGATTCTTTTAACGTACTCATTAAGTTTTTAACGAATTTAACTCCCTAAGGACATGGTATGATTCACAAGTTCTTGATAAGTTCTAGGTAATCTGCTGGTGTGCAGATCACTTCGTTTCTGGGCTTCTTGCTATTTCGAAGATTCATTGGTTTGATAAGATAAAACTAGAGTTCTTTTTTCGGCTCGAGTTAAATTTCCCAATTAATGAAATCGATTCTGTGTCTCTCACTATCTGGAATTCGGCGTGATTTTTCTTTACAGTCAAGCTCATTTTGTAGTTGCCAGGAGGTTTCGATTGCTTGCAGGCCGTTCAATACTATATTCTCACTTACCACTCTCTTTTTTGCTTCGTCTAGTTCTATGGTAAGCAGAGCCGGCCTCAGGCCAGGGGAACCCGGGCACTTTCCCAGAGGCGCCGGGCTTACAGTGCCCGACACTGAAATCAAATTTTAAAAAAATATAAAAAAAGGAAGTTACAGCACAGGGGAATATACAGGGGGAGGGGCTTTCGTGCTGAACCCTTCCCCCAAATGGTAAAATTTAACCACATTTTATAAAAAAAATGATCTAAAGGTATTATTGTTGGTCTAATTACATGCAATAGTATTTAAATAATCACGTGAACACCATTTCATAGTTTCTTTTTTTTGGAAGAAATTATCGTAATATATACCTACAAAAAAAAAAAAAAAAAAAAAAAAACCTTTCAGGCTGAAGTTACCAAAAAAATGTGATGAAATCCTCAATGGAAGGTGGGCTTGTAAATATACATGTATAAATAACTACAGTATCAATTATCTTTATTAACTCGTGAGCATTTCTTGCTTGGCGCCATTGGTCAAATGCCCGGGTTCCTCTACTCTGAGGCCGGCTCTGCTTACCATGGAACTAGACGAAGTAAAGAAGAGAGAGCTAAGTAGGAATATAATATTAAAAAGCCTTCAAAACAATCGAAACCTCCTGACAAATGCAAAATGAGCTTGACTCGAAAAAAGCTACAATGCCGCCTAATCCCAGATATTTAGACACAGAGAATTGATTGGAATATTCAATACGAGACGAAAAAATAACTCTGGTAGTTTCATTTTTTCATACCAATGAATCTTCAATATCCCAAGAAGCTCAGAAACGAAGTAACCTACACACCAGCAGATTACCTAGAACTTACCAAGTATTCGTAAATCAAACCATGTCCAAATGAAGTTGAGGAGTTCATTAAAAACTTACTGAGTACGTTAAAAGAATCTGTCGTAAACTACTCCAAAATAGAGGCGCGTGCATTCTCTTCGTGCCACACCTCCAGAGGGAGAAAAAGAAATGAATAACCCATGTGATCGAATACTCGCTTTTCAGTCAAATTTTTTATAAATTTCCATTCGAAGTTTCGTTTCTCAACATTTTGGAAACTAATTTTGTTCCTGTCATGCGTTGATCATTATTAACAAAGTTATGGGTGTTACTAAAATAAATTTGATTGTTTTTATCTGACTAATACCTGTTTTTCAAAATAATCAATAAGCTATAAAATAGAAGTATATGGCTATAAAAGATTATTTGCTAGTAATATGATCAAAAAAGTTACATAGAGAAACATAGAAAATACAATCCTCATAGAAAAAACCCTTTTTTCGTCTCCTGAAAATTTTTAGTTTTTATACTTACAGGCTTTTGCAGTGTGGCTATTGATATATATATATATATGTGTGTGTATAGTGTTTGTAACTGCTCCCGAATCGATACCTCACAAAAATATTTCTTTAAAAAAAAAGTCAACTTGCTACTCTCTTCTGTGCACCTTTGGTTAGATGACCCTTAACGTTAATTTTTTACACATAATAAATCTCGCGGACAAAGATCTTAACGGTCTGTAGCACCTACCGGAAAAAAGAAAAGAAAAAGAAAAAAAAATCAAAGTTAAGCAGCGCCGAGCCTGGATGGGTGACCGTCCAGTAAAGCCTTGCTGCCGAGATTCCTCCCTCCCCCCCCCCGGGTATCTGAGGCCCGTCAACCTACTGAAGTCAACTCACACCGACCGGGCGTAGGATTGATGACCCTACCCGTACTTTAAGTTGGGAATCGGGAGACCACACTCGCGGTCAAAGATCTTCATGGTCTGTAGCTATAGATCTTCATAGGTATATAATATGTATACATATATGTGTGTGTGTGTGTGTGTGTGTGTGTGTGTGTGTGTGTGTGTGTGTGTGTGTGTGTGTGTGTTGGTAGAATGAAAAAAAAGAAATATATAGTTCAGAAGAAATTATATCAACTATGAGCTGCAATATACTAATTGATGATACTATTATGAAATTTTAATTCTGTCGGTAAAACAAGTTCACCAAACTACTAGCAGTAAAAAAATGAGAAGAATGTAAGGATTAAGCCGAGTCAGTTTAGAGAGCAATAGGACGTCATATATTAAAAAATAAAAATTACACATATTGTTTAGTTTTGAAGTAACATTATTATTTTAATTGATAATAAATGGCACACAAAAGTACTTACATTCGAAGCTCGGTAAGGGCGGTTACAATCTAGCAGAGTATTTCTTTGCGACAGCAAATAGGTTTTAGCGAATTGAGTAAATTCTTGAAGTTTACTCTCAAAGAGATCCTGAAATAGTACATTTTTTTAATTATTATTTTGAACAATAAGAGTTGTTTTTTTAATTTATTTTGTTTCAAAATACAAACAATAATAATACTGTATTTGTATTTAGATCATTTTCCTAGAGAGGGCTGATTCTTCCTGCACTGTTCCAAAAAATACTCAGGAAAAAAGCTAAAAATCAAGTTATAATTCTTAAAAAATGTCCCATTTGCAAATTAAACATTGCAATTACTTGCACATTAGGAATATTGCATTGAGATGTGGGCATGGTTTTGGATTTGAATTTTTCTATTTCATAGGTTGTCAACACAGATTTACATGAGTAGGATCCGAATGATTATTAACTCTTAGCTTGTTATAGAACATGGTGGAGTTTTTTGCTAGATCTTTCTGGTCTATGGTGCCGCCGTCATCTCGGAGCAAATTCTTGTCTTTCTCCTCTATCTTCCCAGCAGCCAGTTCTTCCTTCTTCGCTAGGAACTGCTTCAGAGCACCTTCAACAGATCTCTCCACTGGAAAAGCATTTACAGAGAAGTTCTCCCTTAATCGACTCCCGTTTCTTGTCTAAAGAAGTCCGCTCTCGAACTCCCCTGATCCATCCAAAATTAATTCCATCTCTAATCCTCCTTTCTTGTTTGGTCTTTCATAATAGTCAAACTTTTGTAGTAGGGGGCTACCATTTATTTTACGGAATTTCCAACGGTTATCTCATCTTCTTTAATAGCGCAAGTTTATATTTATTACAATAAAACTATTTTTGAGCGTCGATCTCCATCAGATAAAGGTAGGTATCTACTCCCAGTTCCAAGTTTACCACTAATATTCTGTGCTGGCAAAATTTAAATGTGTTTGCACTAGCTACCTCTATTTATTTTTAATTTATAAAATATATTTCAATACACAAATCACCATCCTCGATAAGCAGCACTAAACTGTTTTGCGTTAAGCTAAATAAAAAATTATTGACGCTTTCGCGATTCTAGGTTTAGAAATCTCCAATAGACATCCGCAGCCGGCGAGACAGAGATAGTTAATGCCTATTAAAAGTGCTAGAGTCGGCCTTTATTAAATACCTCAAGTCATTAATTAGTTGAATTCCCCGAGAGGATGTAGAGCCTGTTGTAACGATGGCACTTAGTCTCCCTCATTTATCCAGTCATAGCTTTGTCTTTCTTGTATTCTTTAATTTTATCGTTACTTGTACCATTACTACAGAGTTGAGCTCTATTCGTCTAATCAGCCGTTGATTGTTTCTTTATCATCGAATACTTTTACGACTAATTGAAATTCTATATAGATTTTAATCATTGTTTTCTATGGTAATTTGAAAAAGTGCATCTAGTTTATATTACATATATACAATAAGGTTTTTAAGAATTTTTGTTCAAGGCTAATCAGGGATACACATATAGAAGTACGTAAGAACCAAATTACATCCTTACATCTAGTAGGTAGCAGATCGGATGATCTAACACGGTGATCAAAAAAGCAAACATCCGCATTACAAAGATTAAACTAATTTATTTTAGGTTGAACTGTATAGTTAAGAGTACTGTTATAATTTATTTAGGGCAGTCCAAAGCTAGCTTCTTTTCAAAAAGTCCGCAATCTCAATGATCTACGTTCTCTTAGGTCTGTCACTTCTGTCCATATTCGTCTTTTATACTTGTTCCAACATCCTCTCTCTGGGAGTCATTCATGCGCAAGAAGAGCAGAGACCATCATAATACATATTTTGATTGATGGGTATTTTGATTGCTAAGTTTCAAAGAAATCTGGAAGGAATTGTTGGTTAATTTTTTATTGCCAGTTCTCCTGCGCGGAAAAATTTCAATCGCGTATATTCATGTTAAGTACTCGTAATAAACTTATCTGCGAATTATCAATTAAAAATTCTAAAAATAAAGTTACACGAGACATTTAGAAAAAATCTATTTTCTGGAACCTTACTAGTATCAAGTAACATCTCTCTATCTTTAATTCACAGTGAACCTACGCTATAAAACTACACTCATGCACACCCCTTGTCCAATCCGCATCACGGCCGTAGGCTTGGAAAAATCTCGATGAAACTAAATATGACCTTAGCAAGTCCACGTGTTTTTATTTTTTTCTAACCCTACATAAGTATGTTTGGTTTCATGGAGGAGGAGCCTACATACCACCGTGGTACGGCTAGGATGATCTGCGGCATGTATATCCTACCCATAATGTGTAAGCGTGGATGAAGAGGAATTGATTTCAGACAAAGGAATACTACTCGTCTACAATATTAATAGTGAACTTATTTATTCTTATGTACTGTTTCAAATTCTGTGGAGGATGGGACATGTCCTACCGTCCCGATAGGGATTGATTGATATTTATAATCAATACCATCTCAAAATACTTTTCTCAAAACAATAACGACAGTTTTGATTGTTCTGTTTGCCTCTTATGTCATTTGTGTTCGTTTTTCGTTCCGTTTTATGAGTCACCCCTCATAATAAAAATGACAGTTCCGCTGTTTTATGAATTTCATTAGCTATTTAACTATCATAAGTGAGAAAAGGGTGCAATCAAAGTGTCATGTTTTTCTATCTTGTAAGAACTAATCTATTATATTCTAAACATGAAATAAGTTACAAGATTGCTTGAAAATAATTTTGTTGAGGCTGGTTGATGTATCACAAAATTGATTGTGTTCGAATAGTAATTTACTTATTTAGAATTGCGAAATCCATTTCGAAATAACCGTTAATATAGAATGATATTAATAAATTTAAAAATAATCTATCTTCTAATTCTCATAATCTATATACTAAATTCAGAATCAGTTTCATTCTTGTCATACTGATTTTTTCACATAATTGAACAATAAATTTCCCAATACTTAAACGAATACGGTGTTATTTGATGACTCATTTTGTTCAATCATTTTATGAACAAACTTTTTTTTCCCGTGTTTTAAATAGAATAATACGTTTAATATATATATATATATATATATATATATATATATATATATATATATATATTAATAATTTGCACCATGATTCTCGGTTCTTCATCAGAATCTATTTCTTCTTCTTCTTCTTCTTCTTCTTCATCTCCTTCTTTATCTTCTTCTGTCTCTTCCGAAGTATTGGATTCACTTTCTTTTTTGTCTTTAATGAACTGACTCGTTACCCCTTCTAAAAATGAATAGTCATGTATCCAGTCTCCATTGTGATCTTTGTAATAATCGAACCTGAGAAAACAAATAAATATGAAGGAAACTGATGAATATTAAAATAAAAATGTCTAATAACGAAATGTCCATGCTTAAAGAATGAATGTTTTTATATTTAATTTTGTTAGTGCTGTTGGTCGAGTAAATCACACCTGACTGTATCAAATAAGAGATTGAACCATCGACTATCTTCCAAGACGAATGCTAGGCCATAAAAGTAAACTACCACTTTCTAACAAAATTACTATATACAACATGCTCCTTAGACCCATATATGTCCCATATATGTCTCTCAAGTGTGAGGTTCATGAAAAAAAAAAACATTCGGATTATTAGAATCTTCCAATCTAAATTTCTCCAATATATCACTGGTTTTCCTTTCTGTATAACCAATAAATAACTTCATAATGATGTACAAATACCACATGTGACGTAATTAAGAAATATTACAAACATTTTCATGACTCACTAGCTGGACATCCTAATCCATTTGTACTATCATTCCTTATAGACCGCAGAATCCCACAAGGATACTTAAATGTATCTGGAATAGGGTTCTGCTACATCAAGAAGGACGTTAGGAGTGCCTTCACCCTCGCTGATTCCGGAGGGGAAGTTCGCCAATGAACATCGTATTTACGAAATATGCGAAATGTCATTTGTTAACATAAATTTATTATTATTATTGGAAAAATCTATAGAAATACAACGTTTTCCGACCACGGTCCGATAATTTTGGAAGTCAGATCCTACACGTATTGCAACCGGATGCCTTCTACAAATCGTATGTCAGCCAGTGTGAAAACGCTCTTACTCGAACCACTCCTGACCAGTGTTCTTGAGGTCTCTGCTTATGTATAATAAATTCAATCTGATTCTTATTTATAATTTGTGGATCTCATCTCCAGTGATTTCTACGTTCCGTTATGATTATCTATTAGCTGTCTTTTGTTAGATAATTTACTTTGATAATAAAGGTGTGTATGCATAGATTAATTAATTTTTTTTATGAATCAGGCTGTGAAAGTTTATTTTGTGCTAATCCGTAGTAGTTTACCCCAGGGTTTAAGAAAACCTTTGGACAATTTTATTTGGATTATAGATTTCCCACTTGAGCAGTTTCTTTCTGTTTTTATTTAATAAGGTTTTTTCATGACTTGAAAATTACAGTGACTTTTATTTCATTAATTAGTAAAAATAGGCTATGAGTCAGTCACACTTTAATTATCTGTCGTTTTGAATCATTTCGTTTTTGTCTCGACTTTTTTTTTTTTAGCCAAACAATTTTTCCCTATAACCTTGCACCCGGAATGTTTGTAGAGAAATTTTGACAAAAATAAAAATTCGTTCAAAGTTTAAAATGTATTTATATATATATATATATATATTAAATAAAACTGTCGCCATAAGCAATTACTTTTCCCAACGGCTTGGAGGGTCTATAACACATTTTTTTTTTTCCAAAAATCACTTATGTCCTAAGAACAGTGCAGATCCTTTTTTACGCCTTATTCTGTAGTCCAGGATTTCCATCGCAGAAAACATTGGAAGGTATGGGGAAGATAGTGAACTAAAGGAGCGTAGTCTGGTGAATAAGGTGGGTGAAGTATTAACTCCAATGTGAAAGTCAATAAGTGTTGTCGAGTCTTTTAAATAGTCATCGGTCCGAGCATTGTCATGATGAAATATTACTTCTTCCTAATTAGTCAACCATGACCGTTCTTCTTTAATTTTCTTCAATTAACAATTATTTCAAAAAGGGATCCTCTATATGTTTTTTTTTTCAATTAAAAAAAAACCGAATGCGATATGTCTCGGCGATACAATATTCGCCGTGATATGGCGATATAGTTGTATACAACCTTGATTGTAGGCAAAGAGAATTGTATTGCCGGAACATACCACGTTATGTGTGTAGGAATCTTAAGAAATTGCTAGTTGTAAGTCGTTCCATAAGGTTCCTTTCGTTGAGCTGACGGTGAATCCAAACATCGTAACGATAAATGTACCCTGCCTTCTCCAGGTAGTAAAGACTGTCGATTTTCAAGAATTTAATTCTGCTGCTATTTCACGAACAGCAATACGTGGAATGCAGTATCATCGCGATACTCCCGATATTCATCACTAAACTCTGCCCGCCCAAAGATGGCCTTCCAGTTCGAAATCTCCAGACCTAGAACCACATCTTATGAGTCAGTAACTGAATCGCCGTCATACACAGCTCGAATCGTATTTTCAGGTCAGCCCTCATTTTTACCTTTTTTTTTTTTTTTTTTTGAAAAATTAAAGTATTACGTGACGTAAATGGGATAGCAAATATAAAGGAAAGATATAAATAAAAAAATAAGATGAAATAACGAGTGATGAACGAAACATGGGATATGTATGGTATAGTAAAATATAAGAAATGATAAGTAAAGATAATTTATACAGATAATGAGATTATTTATTTAGATTTAAAGGTGTCTCTTAACCAAATGGAAACACGAAATACTGTTTGCTCTGCCTAAACATATAATGTTTCTCAACATCCTTCATGAAATACATTTAGACCTTTAAACTCTGGCTAAGATAAGGTTTATGAATAGTACTTGATAACCCGCCCTGACCTAGGTGGAAAACATAAAGTCATAAATAAACCCCGTTTAAACTGAACAGAAATTTGGTTTAAACTCTTTATACATTCCAACTCTGTTTATTTAACAAACCGACGCTCATTATATCTATGTAAATATTGTATTGTTTTCTTTATTTAAGTCACTTGTTTCTGAATTGATAAAGTAATCGATATTTTTGGTAATCGAGATAGGTATCGATTTCCATCTGAAACACCCAATGAATCCGATGGTGCAATTTTCGTTCGCAAAAACCTTTTAAATAATATAAAACCACTGCAAATTATTTCACCATGGTTTATTATCTCCAAACAATTATATACCTAAATTAGCATTACTTCCCTAGTAACATAAATAAAAGGAATGAAAGGTGATTGCTATTATTGGCCTAAATAATTTTTTTTTTGATCATTAGTAATTTTCTAATGAGGCAGCCCCTCTACCTGACTCGGGGGCAGTGGGCTGATAACCCACCCCCCCCCCCTAAAGTACCTTATTACGAAACCTCAAAGAGAAGAAGCCGGACTGAATTACGGTAACAGACCCAGGAAACGCCTAAATGACCTAAGAATTGGATTTTGGAACATTTTATCATTACATAGACTAGGAGCACTTCGTGCGCTCCTTGCAGAAGTGGACACATACAGAATCGACATAGCAGCTATCCAAGAGGTCCGATGGATAGGACAGGGAATTATGGAGAAGAAGTACCATACACTCTACTATAGCTGCCATGAAAAGCATCACATCTTTGGTACCGGATTTGTTGTGAGAGGCAGAGCTCGACAGTTAGTGATGCGATTTACTCCCATTAACCAAAGGTTATGCTACATTCGGCTTAGAGGAAAATTTTTTAATTTCTCTCTAATCAACTGCCATACCCCAACAGAGGTGTCACCTGAGGAGGATAAGGAAGCATTTTATGAAGAACTTGGACGCGTGACAGAAAGCTGCCCCAAAAATGATGTTAAAATCATTCTTGGTGACTTTAACGCACAAGTTGGTAAGGAGGTGGCACTCATGCCGACCATAGGAACCCACAGCTTGCATGAGACCAGTAATGATAATGGGCTACGGATGGTGAACTTTGCTACATTGCACGGACTGGTTGTTGGAACAACTCTTTTTCCTCGAAAGAATATCCACAAAGCAACATGGATCTCTCCAAATGGGCAAACAGCATCACAGATAGACCATGTACTCATTAGTGCCCGTCACAAGTCCAACATGATAAATGCAAGATCTTATAGAGGTGCAAATATGGACACGGATCACTATTTGAGCATTGCCGAGGTCAGATCACGAATTTCGCTGATTAAAAACCACTACCAACGACCAAAGAAGAAGATTGATGTGGTTAAACTTAAGGACTCAGACCACCAATATTCGTATCAACAAGCTGTGGAGACGAAACTTAATGAAGAAGTAATTAATGACAGCTCTATGGTCGATGAACAGTGGAAGAGATGCAGCAACGCAATGAAACAGGCAGCAGAAGAAGCTCTTGGCTACGAGACTAAATCTAGAAGGCCCCCATGGTTTGATGCTGAGTGCCTTCAAGCAGTAAAAGTGAAAAATGAAGCCTACAGAAAGAAGGTTCAGCGTCCCACAAGGCTCTCCCAAGAAACATATAGAAGAAAAAGACGCGAAGAGAAGAGATTATTCCGCGGAAAGAGAAGAGCTTGGGAAAATAAGAACATGGAGGACACAGAGGCATTGCGAGGCCAAAATGAAAGTCGCCTGTTCTTTCAGAGAATAAACGAGGGTAGGGCAGCTTTTAGGCCCAGAGTGACGGCATGCAAAGACACAAATGGAACTCTTTTAAGCCACAAAGATGACGTACTAAGGAGATGGGTACAACATTTCAAAGGCGCATTAAACAGAGGAACGGTGCCTGGAGAAGTAGGTGTAATGAAGGAAGACTCCCTGAATTCTATTGAACCCCCGGATGAGGAGGAAATGGAAAACGCCCTGAGGAAATTGAAAAATGGAAAGGCGCCAGGCCCGGACGGAATCCAGTCAGAGCTGTTGAAATGTGGAGGTGAAGAACTCAAGAAAGCTCTGCATGATTTAATGCTGACCATCTGGGAGAAGGAAGCTATGCCTACGGAATGGGCAACAGCCATTATCTGCCCAATACATAAGAAAGGAGATCAAACAGAATGCGCTAACTATCGAGGAATCTCACTCCTTTCGTGTGCTTATAAGCTGCTCTCTAACATTCTTTTTGAGAGGATCCTCCCGTATTCTGAAAAGGAACTGGGGAAATATCAGGCTGGATTTCGAAGAGGACGCTCAACGACTGATCAACTGTTCTCTCTGAGGATGATCCTAGAAAAGACTATGGAGCGTAAGGTAGTCACCCACCATTTATTCCTGGACTTTAAAGCAGCATACGACAGC